AGGATGACGCCAGCGCGTCCTCTTCGACTTCGGTGCCGGAAACGGCGGTCACCTGCGGGTAAGTGTCTCCAGCCGTTTCGTTCCATTCATATTTTACCGCGATTATTATTATTATAATCTTCATTGTTATTAGTATCATTATTATTATTGTTATTAGTTCAGGATTATTCTTGTTGAAGATTTTCTCCTACTAAACATCCCTCCCCCTAAACATTATTATTATTATTATTATTATTTTATTCTTATTCTCCTTCTTCTTCTTCTTCTTCTTCTTATTATTGTTATTTCAGAGTTATTCTTGTTGAAGATTTCCCCCTGCTATAAAAACCTCCCCCAAAACGTTATTACCATTATTATTACTATTATTTTATTATTGGTGTAATTACTTCGGAGTTATTCTTGTTGAAGATTTCCCCCTGCTATATAAAAACCTCCCCCAAAACATTATTACCATTATTATTACTATTATTTTATTATTAGTGTAATTACTTCAGAATTATTCTTGTTGAAGATTTCCTCCTGCTGTAACCCCTCAAAACATTATTATTATTATTATTACAGAATTATTCTTCTGCACACAGTATTATTATTAATTATTATTCTTATTACTACAGAATTATTCTTCTGTCTACAGTATTATTGTGCTGTAACCTCCATCCCAAAACATTATTATCATTATTATTATCATTATTATTATTATTATTACTACTATTATTATTACTTTATTATTATTATTATTATTATTATTACTGCAAGGTTATTCTTGTTGAAGATTTCGCCTCGCTATAAAAGCCAGAAAAATCATTATTTTTATTATCATTATTATTATTGAAGGTTTTCCCCCCGCTATAAAAACCAAGACAAAAATTATTATTATTATTATTAGTGGGAAAGATTATTATTTTAGTGTGATATTTTAGTAAGGTCTCCACACACATACCGCAAGAGTCTGACCGCTTTCGGGGATGTTTTTCAATATTTTCCCCCGCTATAAAAATAAAAAGATATTATTATTATTATTATTATTATTATTATTATTATTATTACCAATACCACGAGTAACGTAATACCATCCTTCCATAAAACGCAAATGTACTCGCCGGTATAACGGCAGCCATTAATCCGATAATTCTCGATTCGATTTGCACGAACCAATTGCACTTTAGCGGCGGCGAGTAGGTGGACGGAGCGCGAACACGAAACTTTCGCGTATTAAAATTGAATAACGCTCGGATACCGCCGTCACGTATCCGCGGACCTGTTTAAACATATCGCAACTAAGAAACACAAATATTTGCGGAATACTATTTCCCTGGCGACTCGCGTCGGCGCAATTGCGTCGTTCGAAATAACAATTTATTTCTGCATTAAAACGAAACAACGCGCGGCTCGCGACCCGCTCGATGTTATCTCATAGAAACGATCGCGTATTTCGCTAACGAATATATTGTTGTTATAATATATATTGTGTATAATATATACAGGGTGTCCCAAAAATGTCTCGCAATCCGAAAGTGGCGGGTTCCTCGGGTCATTCGAAGCAACTTTTTCCTTTACAAAAATTTTCTTCGAGGCACCGTTAACGAGTTATTAACGGAAAACAGTGACCAACGAGAGGCGAGCTCTGCTGGCGCGAGGCGACCGAGCCAATGAGCGGAACCGGGCTTCGTGCGCTGGTTGGCTGGGCCGCCTCGCGTCGGCCGTACTCGATTCTTATTGGTCACTGTTTTTCGTTAATAACTCGTTAACGGTGCCTCGGAGAACATTTTTGTAAAGGAAGAAGTTGTTTCAAATGAACCGAGGAATCCGCCATTTCCGGATTGCGAGACATTTTTGGGACACCCTGTACATATTGTTCGACAATAGTTGTCACAAAACATATTTTCGTGTTTCGATTGTACGAGTTCTTTTCACGTTCGCGCCCCTCGGAAAACGCGTCCGTCTCTGAAAAGAGCAGCAGCGGCAGAGATTACGAGGTGTTAATAAACGGAAAATAAAGTGCGCGAGAGAAAAGCGAGCAAACGTTTACAATGATCGCGCCGCGGTTTATTGTCTGGCGAGTGATGTTCGCGGAATAAAAGGAAAGAGCTCTGTGCCTGGGGAACGTGTGCGACGGCGTTGGTTTTTGAACAGAGACGCGAGCTCGTTTTTTTTTCTTCTTCCGACGGCATCGCTTGTCCCGTGCGGAAAGGCATGCGATGGTAAACGCAGTCAAATATCATTTGCAAAACATATTACGTTCGCATTAAAATGAAGCCGCGGCAGCGCTAAGGTAACCGATGCATTTTTGTAATTCAAATAGCGCTGCGCGAATGCAGCTACTATACAGTGGGTCCCCTATATGTATACATATGTATGTATATATGTATGTATGTGTCTCGATTCTCTAGATGCAGCACGGTCCATTCAGAACACGCGATTCGTAAGGAAAAAGAAAAACGCGCGCTCGTATTTTCGCAGCTGTCGATAAATTAAGTATTATTATTATTAAATATATTATTATATTATTATTATTAAATTAAGTAGTCAATATTACGCTTTTAGCGTAGAAGTTACGAAACTGGGAAACGTTTGACGAGGGTGGAATGATTAGACGAAACAGAATGGAATAAAATGCAATTAATTAGACTCAAACAAGATACAATAAAATAGAATAGAATGGAATGAAATACAATGAATTAGACTCAAGCAAAATACAGTAAATTAGACTCAAACAAAATACAATGAAATAGAATAGAAT